CCCACACCCACACCCACACCCACACCCACACCCACCCCACACCAACACCCACACCCACCCACACCCATCCACCCCACACCCACACCCACTCACTCCACACTCATCCACCCCACACCCACACCCACACCCACTCACTCCACACCCACACCCCCATCAAACTTTGAGCACGCTTCCTGTCTCTTGGTTGGATGCAATGGCAAAAACGAGAATTTTCGACTTTTGAAACTTCATTCTAGAGCACAACAGTTGCTCTAAAAAAAATCTTTTTATAGATCATAAGAAAGAGGACATTCGAAAATACCAAACGCAAACTGAGTTTTCACTTTAGCTAAGCTTTTTCGTCGAAATAGTAAGACAAGAAAAAGTTTGAGTCGAAAAAAAAAACAAATTTACAAGATTTTCATTTTTTCTGCCTCGCGTATAATTTACTTCGTTTTCTTGATTGAAGTTCTGAAATTAAATCTTAGGTATGATTTTGTAGAGAATTTTATGGCACTTCTATTAAAAAAAAGAAATTGTGCTAGGGAACCTGATAAACAGAAGTTCAAGCAAAAATACTGAGATCGGATTCACCGATAATTTTTCTTTTTTGTGAAGCACTTTTCTAAGTCTATAACTTTTTTATTATACGAGCTAGCGGGGTCAATCGAAAAGTATTTTGTAGAGCGTGTTTTATTGCATCTTTTTGATCCTAGAGACAAATTCTTAAAGACGTGTTTTAATATAGAAAAATTTGATATACAAATCGAGTTAGGACTTCTGGCCCACCCTTTATGTTTTTGAAATATCATCACCTATATCTGACCAGTTCATATCAACAAGTTCTGTAAGAGAACAACCTCGTTATGGTAGTTTGAAAGACTAGAAAAATCAGTCTAACGATACGGTCTTTTGCGAGACGGTATACCGCGAACCTCCTGCGATAATGGTACGGTACAGTATATAAATGTTATTACGCGGTACGGTATGGTACGGTATAATACGAATTGAAGCGGTACACGGTATGAGGCGGTACTTAATTTTTGCAACACCGTCAGTGCCTGGCTTCTACCATAACCAGTTTTTAGTCATGGACAACTACACATTCAGTGCGCGACAAAAGTTATGTCCCTATTCAAATGAGTATTTTTCTTTATTTCAACACATGAAATTAGAATACAATATATCAATAAAGAGAGAAACTCTAAATATTTACTACACACATAATGTTCTTTTAATTACTTGCTTCTTCTTTGAATAAAGTAGAAATGTGTGAAATGCACCCTTGAATGACTTTTTGCGAAATGAGAAGACATGCTTGATCGACCGCCGCTTCCAACTCAGCTTGTGTTTTTGGTTGTGCCATTCTAACCATTTCCTTGAGTGAGTGCCAAGCATACTCAATTGCATTGAATTCAGACGAGTGAGGTGGCCAATCTAATAACTGGAGCCCATGATCTTCAAACCACTGAAGAACTGGTTTTGTCCAATTTGATGTTAATTTATCTTGAGCTACAGTATAACGACGGCATTTGTGTATATATGGACCAAGGTAAGACTCTAACAGTTGCTGATATACAATTTGATTCATGTAATCATCATACCTTGCAAACGCTTTTCCATTCCACCAGATGGCACCCCATAAGTTGACGTAGGCACGAAGGGAAGAAATTTCATGAATCGGCGTTGGTTCACCACGCTTCACCCAAACGATTGTACCTAAGTTACGTAATTGTACTTGTGTTTCGTCAATAAAAATTGATTTTCGATGTTGCTATTTTGATATTCTACTACAAATAAATGCCATTTTTCGACTTGAGCTTCTGTTGATTTAACTTTGATATGTTGTTTTCTTGGACAAAATCCAAGTGCTCGACGATATCGTTGTAACCTGCGTCCACTCACTCAAATACCAAACGTGTTAAAGACATGATCGGCAAGTCCATCAGCCGTTGCACTTGGATGTTTTCAGATATACTTATCTAATAATTTCTGTTGACTGTCAGTAAGAGCAGTTGGTCGACCTGGTCTTTCTTGGTCGGCTAACAATCCTGTTTCATGGAAGCGAGCAAGAACACGGCTAACTGTACGACGATCACAACTAACTATACATGCTATTGTACTAAGTTTTTTGTTTGACTTTTGTGCTTCTTTGACGACAAGTAAACATTTTTCTTGTGTTAAGTGTCGCATTTTTGCCTGTTGTAGCATTTTACAAATCTAAAACAAAAAACACAAGAAACAGAAAAGCTGAATATGAATATCGAATTGTCTAAGAGTAGTATATATAATAATAATAAAATGATTTGCAATGCCTTTCTCAAAGATAAAATAAACGATTTGTTCTGCGGGCGAAACTTTTATCGCGCACTGATTGTTTTTCCAAGAGTTCACTCTCGAACATTTGTCAAGGTGTAAATCATCCAAGAAGAAAAAAACCAATAAAAGACATAAAGTTAAAAACATTGTATTCAAATTAAAATGAAAAACTAAGCAAATAAATTATTTTTATAAAATGGAGATAAATGTTTCAATTGCACTCCTACTAGTTATTTCATCCTTGCGAAAAACTTGCTCCGATCGTAAAAACGGCCATGCATCGATTATCAGCTTGTGGATATTTAGAAAAACTTGGATTATTGAATTTAATTTTTTCTTAAATCATTAAACATGTTTTCTTTTTCGATGACTATCGACTGTAGATTTTTTTTATTCTTCTTTAATCCTTATCCTCCCATCTGGGGTCCAAACGGACCCCAACAAGTTTCATTTTAACGTTATACATACAGAACATCAGAATTAAATCACGCCTCTCTATATATGCTCTAGTAAATAGTAGAATACGCTGCTGACGTTAGTCATTCACTATCATTAGTTATTTATGTGATAAACTACCTCGAAGTACATATGAACGCTTGTTGCCCATCCGGGGTCCACTGGAACCCCAGCAAGATTCAATCTAATTCCCTATATTCATAACTTTAGCTCAAAACTTGTCTTGTGAGATATGCGTTAGAGACAATTAGTAGAGCATGCTGATATCATCAGTCAATCAGATCCAGCTGTTGCTAATGCGAAAAAACATCTTAGAGTACGCGTTGATGTTGAGTATACGATAAATGATACCAAACCTTCGAAAAATAGAACATGACAACAAGGTACAAAAGGACCGAATAAGTATCGTTCAAGCTAGTTGTAATTCTGTTTGTTCTTCTTGCAGTTAAATCTTCTCTAGAACTACTATAGTTTCATAATAAAACAATGACAGTTTTATATTTTATTTGTCTTTTATGAGCCTGAGGTCAACACGGACCCCACATAGGCAACAAGTGATAGTCGTATAGGCGGGCGGATTAGAGTTAAGTTATTTGTCGATCTTAAGTCATGCTCGAATCACTACTATTTTTAACAGATAGATAACTCGTGTACTGAATCTTGTTGATTTTGTACAAGTCTTTCGTGAAAAGAAAATGATCATTTTAACAGATTTTATTTCTTTTTACATAGGTAATCCCAATTATGTTGTCCTATCAGTACAGGCGGAGCCAGGAATTTTTTCTGGAGGGGGCTGAGCCCCGTTTTCAAGCTGAAAATTAGTATATTTCGCTGTTTTAATGCTAGATCGTCTCAATTCTGGGGGGGGGGCCTCAGCCACCCCCTGGCTCCGCCACTACCTACCAGTCCTGTACGTTTCGGATTTCAACCATAGTTTTGTGCAACGTCTGCAGAGTTATCATTTTCTATGTCGACTGTTAAATGATATAGAGTAGGCATTTTTGAAAAAAGTTATTTAATACACGTGATCTACCACGAAAAATAATGTTTAAATTGACGATTGATGTGACACCAATTGGAAACGTTCCGTTTTCATCATCCTATTCAATACACATAGAAAAAACTCGAACATAAGGTGTGTATTGATATAACTTAACTATATCACTAAATGGACGTGGATTAACAGTTCGAATGAACAAATGTTCGAGAGTACGTAAAATCACTTGTAATCTATTAAAATCAACATCAGATGCATAATAAGTTTCTAAATGTACAATATGAGTACCGAGTTCCCAGTTTCTGGGAACTGAACATACAACTAACACACCTCATACCAATAATTACGAGTAAGTAACAGTTCTTCTATTTCCTTTAACCTTTCTTATAGATCTTCATCTAGATAATTGAAATGGAAATTTGATTCAACATATCCAATTCATCTAAATGATATAATCAATAAAGATGAATTTCAAGAATCAGTTAATAGAATTAATCATACAATTTCTTTGTTTAAAACTTATGTAAAAACTTCTTACGAGGGACCGTTTCTAAATGTTTAATCACTTTTCGATTGATATTATGTTCATTGAATAGGGTCTGTTGAGTAATTGAAAAGCCTATCTTGATTTGCTTGCCTAGACCTTTGGGGCTGAGATATCGAATTTTTAGTGGATTTGTTTCAAACGATCGTGACCCATGTCAGATTTACTCATGGGCGGCGAGGCGGCAAGCAATGAGTTAGCAATTGCTTCCCCTAACTTTTTCTGTCTGCTAAAAAAAACGATCATCACTTTAGACGAAGTAGGAAATTTTTGTACGAAGGATAAAAAATGTTCGGAAAAAGCTGTGGATGTCTTAGGTGACAAAAAATTTTTTATCTTTATCTTCTTTCACACCACTTCTGAACGCAGCAATGGACAGTGCAACTCTACCAAAAGGTCTCGTGATTGGTAATTGCTTTCCCTAAAAAACGTACCTTGCGCCGCCCATGGCTTCAGTGAAAAATCAACTTTCGAATTTCGACCTGAAACTTTGCATAGATAAAGTCCTCCATTAGATCAGCTTGTAAAAAAGGTTTCAATATCCTTGGACACAGCCTCATTGAAGTATGAATTTTCTTAATATGTTCATGTTAATATCCATGTTTTATACAATACATGGAAACCGCTATATAGGTGTTTTTCATAAATATACATACAATTGTACGATATAAAAAAACAAACAAACTATGTTTAAATAACACTTGATTGCAATGAGATTAGCATCCTGTTACAAATGTATAAAAAATCATTTGAATAAAAGCTTTTATATTCGTTTGGAACAGTCATACATCTTATACTAAAAGTACGGTTTTAAATGGAATCGCGAAATGGGTGGCTTTAAAATAATATAAGAAAAATAAATACTCGATTTATTTAAACTGTCCTTTAATCAACGGACAACAATATCATTCACTAGGCAGAAGAGCTATAAATCATAAACGTAAACTTAATAATGAAGTGTCCGGCCTGAATAATCGAATGATATCGAGATATATGTGTAATCACCAGAGGTGCAGAATCTGCCGGTAAAATGATTAAGTTTGCGCAAACGGGGAAATTTTATCGAAAAATTCCCCGACAAGAAAAACAACAAAACACGTCTTTACGCCATAAAACTCCAAAAATTTCCTCAAACGCACGCTTGCGCACGCAGGAAGATTTTGCATCTCTGTTAATCACTCTCTCCAAGTCATTTCTTCTTTATATGTTATTCTTCTTTATTTAATGTTATATGTTTGATATCACATATCATCTTTCTTTGTTTTCTCTCCTATATATATCGATACATTCTACAGAAGCAACATTTCGTTTCTTATTCACTATCTTTTAACACATATACATTATCCTGATATTTTTATTTTTTCACCGTTCAAATATAATTCCATGGCACCTAAGCCTAAAACAATTGTCACAGTATAGGTGTTCACCTTGCCTACAACACTAATCTTAAGATTTTATGTCAAAATGAACGCCGAGATTCATGAAAAATCAAACAAATCGCGAAATAAGATAAATAGTGGCAGCTGGTCTGACCATACGCTTACGTATTGTATAAATCACAACATAATATTCCAGCAATCTATTTCTTAGCTATAAAGCTTGGTGTTGTCAAAATACATCTACAATCATGTATAGCATTAATAAAACTTAATGTATGATTTTCCGAATATTTTTTCTTTTTTTTTTATAAGTAAAATTGATCTGCATGTTTTAAATTGGAATATTAATTATAAGTTGTATTTTGATTTTAATGTCATCAATTAATTGATATTTAGTTGACCTAAAATAACTTCAATAAAATTTATTGACGAAGTTATAACTTCGTCAAAATTGTTGACAAAGTAATAACCTCGTCGACCGGTGAAACTTCGATATGACATATATGTCATACATTCGTAAATGAAATAAGACAACGAAGAAAGCGAAACACTCGCGCAATATATTCGCAATTTTTACATGAATTCAGCAAAAACATTTGGTAGACAGCAATTATGTATAGTTAACTGTCATTTTACAACCTGTTCTTTAACGAATACACATACCGAACGTTGCAAATTTATTACACGAGTGTTTCTCCTTCTCTCTGATCTTATTTTGGATCTACAAAAATTGGTTGTAAAAAAATTGGTCAAACGAAAATTGGTCGTAGATAATTGAGCGATACAAAAATTGCTTGAAAATTCTGTAATAAAGGAATAAAAACTTTTTCTTAAATAAAAGCTTCAACTGTGAAATATGAAAGCGAAATAAACACTGATTATATTAATATGGTAATATCAGAGAAAAATAATGACTCAGACAAACTAGTTCAACAAACACAATAAGAATAATAATTTTCAAATTATCAGTAAGTACTTCTAGTTGCTGTAGTAAAGTTGCCTTTATTGAGGATACGCCTACAATCGTATACCCAGTCATACCCTCATCCCATCCTCACTTCATCTTTATCCTCATCCTCAGCCTCAAGATACAATTCAGTGTTTGAGCTTCTGTTTAAGAGAAATGCTGTTATTCTTTTTTTTACAAAATTTTCGACCATTTTTCGTTTGATCAATTTTTGCTTTTCTCTCATATGTATTTATTCCTCTCTTTTTTTTCGTCAAAAATTGAAATGAATATTGCAATGCTGTCATCAACAGGACAAAACAAAAGAATATTAGTCAGACGGTCGTTTAACATTTTGCCCTATTGACCGAATAGAAATTTTTTTCCCCGATTGAATATGAGTTGTATGAGAAGGAAACAAATACGCTTCTTTTTTTCTCTAACATACATTGACGAATAAATACAACGGCAGTAGGCACATTATACGATATAATATAGTTTGGAATGGTCTGTATTATTTTATTATATTTTTCGATATTTTAGTATAGTTGAGATATAAGACTTATACAAATAAAGAAGAGAAAATTACGTTTTTCGTCTCCGTATTTAACTTTGAAATAAACTGAACATTAGTGGCATACATAAGTTTACTTTTAATTTTTTCATGTTAATTTTAAATTGAAATTGATCATAATCCAACCGAAAAACTAAGGCTTACTTTGTTCTTACGAAAGAAAATAATTTGTATCTTCGAATTTTTACCAACATCATTGAACTTTTAAATTATACAATATAAATTGATTTTAATTGGTTAAAATAATGTTGTGAAATACGAAGTACAATGAATATTTTAATATAAGACAAGAAATTCAGATCTATCTCATGGACAACATCTTTCTGGACAGATTCTTATTAGAGATCGGTCTATTATAGGCATGTCTGTTACTTTTTTATTTATAGTTTCATGATGTTTCATATTTTTTGTTAGACTTTAGTTTTCAACATTAGATTTTGACAGTATTTTAATCTCGATGTTTTTCACAGTAATGAAACTGTTATCAACCAGTACTGATTAGCACAATAATCTTTAGTTAAGGACTGAAAATTTCATTTTTGAAATAGAAAACAAATGAAGAATAAAAAGATTTTTTTTTTGATAATTGTATTATAAATGAATATTAACATATTGTATTATGAAGATGTAAGACTAATATTGAATGAAAAAATATCATTTATTTCCGTTTTTATTTTGCAAATGGGAAGAAAGAGATCCGAATTTTCTATAATAGATTTTGATGAATAATATATCGAATCCTTCTGAAGAATTCATATGGATACAATAATTCATAGAGCAAATGCTTTTAGTAAAGAGATTAAATTAGTGACTTATATTGTTTGATTTAATGTACAGTTTTTCGACATTGAATAGAAAAAATTTTATCTAGAAGTTAAATCTCTAAAATGTAAGTAAAATTGTATTTTCTTCCATTGTTTTCTATTGGTCACAATAGAGTTCATTGATTTGGTATGATATCATATCTGTGAGAAAATATAAACTTGACTACGTTTTGTGACATTAGCTTTAAGTGATAAGTACTATCTCGAATACTAAATATACTAGAAAAGGAGATGGGATTTTTTTTCCTACAATGTACATTATGGACTAATGGTGGTTTCAACTGGATAAGGCACTAATTTCTCCCTTTTAATAGGAACATTTACTTTTCATATATTCGTAAAATGAAAATTTTCTTTTTTTTTCTCGTAAAATAATTCGATGAAAAACTGAATTAATAAAACTATAAGATTGAAATTGTCGATCTCATATTTGTATAATGCTTGCATGAATTAAGAAATAGCACTCTTATTTATCAAATAGTTTTGTTTCACTAATGTCTCAAGACTTAGACAAGTTTTTATTTTAAAATAATTTTCTAGTTTAAGTAAACACTGTTTGAAATCAATTAATATTTATGGAAATTTGAAAAATGAATAGAATTTCTTTTCATTTGATTATGTCAATCAATGGTAATCTAATCTGAAAGAAAAGAGAAGTGTAATATATTTTTTTTATCTTTTTAGATAAAATGATAACTAGAGTGGAGAGACTACCTAATGAAATTGTTCTTTATATTTTTTCTTATCTTGAATGGTTCGATATGTTAATGTCTTTTTGGTCATTAAATATTCGGTTCAACTTTCTTGTGTGTTCAACTCTTTCAAAAACTGGTGGTAATCTATCAAATTCGGGTATTCTTATTAAACAGGGTTTATCTTATAATAAATATCGTTCAATATTATTTCCATTGATTTTAAATTCTTCATCTCTTTCTTCTTCTATTAAACGTATTCATTTTGATGAAACAAATTCAATTGCTTCTGATCTTTGTTATGAATGGTTGTTTAATGATAAAAAAATTCTTCATTTTTCTAATCTTAAATCACTTATTATAACTGGATGTGGATCAATTGAACCAATAATTCAATGTTTATCTTATCTTATTGAACATCAATTAGATGAACTCACGTTAACATTTGATTGGCGAGTGTTCACAATTTTTTTTGATGAAGAAAAACAAGTGTCAATGGTTTCTGATATAGGTAATCAATCGTTTATATGATAGATTCTATAAAACAAGATGAGATTGATGTGTCTTGATCCGAATTTATCTAGTTCGAATTTTTTGTTCCAAAAAGAAGACACCATGTTCATCTGCTCTACTTTCATATTTGATGGATTTTTTTGAAGAAATCAATGAAGTTCTTAATACAAATTAGAATCATTTAGGGACAAATGAATAGAGAATCTATTCATGTAGAAAGGAAATAGTACTAGTTTGGGAACTTTCGTTTAGAAGAAAAAAATCCTAATATATATAACTACTATCCGTTTCAAAATAGAATGAACTGAATGCAAATTGAATAACTTTTGATAGGAACAAGATAGAGAGCTGCGATTTTCACCATTGGAGAGAGGCATGTCGTGGCTATCAAGACATATAAAAAACATTATTTTTCAACAGGTTGCTTTGAGTTTTCTAGAGATGGAGATTTTCAGAAAACCGAGATTTTCTAAATTTCCATTACACTTGTACTTCTGATGATGCCGGTTGATTGTCCATACTTTTTTCCATCGATCTACGCAAGGACGAGCCCTCTAGACCGTTCTGTTCAAGAACCATGGAGGTTTTCCAGAGACCCAGGATTTGGAAGAACTGTCCTTCAATCATCACCAAATAGGTCAAAATATGGGTAATCAACTATACTGAGTCGAATGGCGATATTTATTTTCAGTTTCAATGTGATCTCAAGTCATGAGAGAAAATTTTCGAAAATTAAATTTCTGCTGTTATGTGTTGTATAAATCGCATATATCGAGATTTTCGGGTAACAGCTTGAGGTCACATTGAAACTAAAAACAAATATCACCATTCGACTCAGCATAGTTGATTACCCATATTTTGACCTATTTGGTGATAATTCAAGGACAGTTCTTCCAAATCCTGGGTCTCTGGAAAACCTCCATGGTTCTTGAATAGAACGGTCTAGAGAGCTTGGCCTTGCGTAGATCGATGGAAAAAAGTGTGGGCAATCAACCGGCATCATCAGAATTACAAGTGTAATGGAAATTTAGAAAACCTCGATCTCTAGAAAACGCAAAGAAACTTGTTAAAAAACAACGTTTTTTATATGTCTCGATAGCCCGGACATGCCTCTTTCCAATGGTGAAAATCGCAACTCTCTCTCGTTACTATCAAAAGTTATTCAATTTGCATTCAGTTCATTCGATTGTGAACCGGATAGTAGTCCCTCATATTTATTTTCTTATTCTAACATCTTCAAGTGAATCTATGTGAAGAATGAGCCTTTCTAGATTTTTTTATATTCGTGATAGATATATCTGTTTAAACATAGATTGAAATCTATAACCTTAATCGAATATCCAGGCAATAGTGGACTGCACCGGACTCCAAAATCCGACTCCGACGGAGTTGGAGTAGGAGTCGAAGCCGTAAAAGACAAGATTTTTCGGAGTCAGGATGGACGAAAGGAATTTTTTTATCACAGTCAAAGTCCTTCATCTATTGAAAATTTTTTAGTCACTTTGTTCGAGTCGTTTTCTAAAAACGACTAGAGGGAAGTTAAGTTCTGTACAAAAGAAGCGGTTCGTGTAATATGAACTAATCTACGTAGTCACGTTGTCATAATCTTAAGTGCTATAACCCTTAAGATGCCTTTTTACTAGGCAAAAATAGTTTTTGGAGTCCGAAGAATTTTGAATTCGCAATTAGAATCGGCATCACGAAAATTTTTTTTTTCAGAGTCGGAGTTGGAGTTTCGAAATGGAAATTCTCGGGGCTAAAATCAGGTTTCGGAGTCAAAAATTTTCATGATGCAGTTCACTATTAAACATCCTTAGAAAATATTAGTCTTTGTACAATAAATTAGAAGTTGATTTAGTTATTTTGAAAGAAAATCTTGCATATTGACTGATCACTTCTGTGGTAAAAGAGAGTTATCTGATTGCATAGAATGTATTGATACAAGGAAAAGTCTGAATTGATTAGTGGTTCTAATACTTTGTTCTTGAGTTATCATCCGACATGTGCAGGAATGCACTAGTATTTAGACAACAACAAAAATAAAGTCATATCAATCAAAACAAAAGTCAGGAGAGGTGACGTAAAAAGAATGTCATTCGTGTACTGAATAGACGAAAGAACCATTATGTAAGGATTTTGTATATTTGATGCGAACAGATTCTGATACAGTTTCTTTTAAGCTGCGACCAAGATTATAATCGGCATCTGAAAAACTAAAATCAAGGAACTGGAACTGGACCAAATTTACCAGGACTATAACCGAGACTATTGAGAAAAAAGTTACTAAGACCGTTATTAAAGAACTTGATCTCGCGCATCTCTATATATGACGAATCTAGTCAATTTTCGGTGAATGATAGAAGGTATTGAGAAATATCAATGTTGGAATTTCCATCTCAAATTTACTCTTAAATCAGTGTCATATTAACTTTAACGCGTCAAGATTTTCAACGAAAACAAACGGTTGATTCCTATGATATCAAGTTCTTCAGAAATTTGTACTTTTTCAAATGTTATATAGAGTATCCACTTTGAGAATTTTATGTCTATGAAAAGAGTAATCCGTTTTAACTACAATAGCTAGTATGTTAAGAGTATTAGAAGAGTTATTTTGTGCAAATTTTCAGATTAGAATTTCTATATATGATATTTGTTGAGATATCCTGGTATTGAGCGACAATTGAGTGAAATGGTCATTTAGTTCAAGAAGAATGCAGGATGAGCTCGAATGAATTTAGCCTTTATTATATCTTAACATATCCGCTCGATGACATAACTCTAAGTTCAAAATCGATTTATCACTTCACCAGATTCTCTCAAAAGACAAAGGTATTAATATGAGAAGTAAAACTATTAAAGTTAGCAATTCATTGTTTTCTTCCTATGAAAAGAATCTTAGATATCAACAACTACTATGCAATTATAAATAAATCTTGTTGCATTTTTGATCCTATATTATGTTTATGTTAGACACGTTTATGTGAATTAATTGATATATATTCACGGCATAGCCAGGAGGATGATCATGGTGTCCAGGTAGCTCTCTTAGAGAAAAGAATGGCTGGAGAGACTTACTGAATTAAAGATTTCATTTTCTGACAGGCACCTTTTAGAAAATTTTTGGTTATGCCACTATGTATATTCATCTACTTGATTCAATTGAAATACAGTCAAATTTCTCTATGTGAGCACTTGGCGGATCGACCGATTGATTTTTATTGTAAATGAGCCTCTCTAACAAGAGAACCAACCACTTCTGAGCAGTGAACACTATTTATTTTTTGATGCCATACTGTATAATCGATCCTCTCTTGCATGGTCATATAGACAATATTTGAATCAGTCCATCGTTCTTTTCATTCTTGTCACTCAGTGTTATTATGTGAATGGGATGGAGAAAAGTTTCGTCCAACATAAAAAAAAATCTAACTCACTCATCGATATATATTTCTAATTGTGCAACCGGTGATAAAAAGATTATAGATAGCCGTGTTATTTGACATTGATGTATAAAACCGATCAAAGCTCAATTATGGACTTCTTTTCAAATCTTGATTGTAGATAAGTGAATGAAATACTGGACACACTCGAAAGTCTAAGGACAGAATGAAAAAATATTGTTGACTGTTATCTATCAAAGCCTCTTTAATGCGATTACCTCCATCAAGTAGTCGATTTGAAAATATTTCGTAGATATCGATCTAAAACGGATTTTAGTCTAGATTAAAATTTGTTTTTATACTTATTCTTACCATTCAATACTTTGATCAATCATTAAAAAAGTGACATTTTGTAAATATAAGTTTTATTTTATGAAATCTAAAATAAAATTTAAAAAAATTTATTTTTCTTTGATGAATAATAGAAAAACAAAAGACAATGCTCATAGAATTTCTTGGTAAATTATTCTCTTCTCGATGTCAATTAAAAACTCTTCAACTTGATATTAGCAAAGAACTAACGGATGGTATGATTCCTCGATATTTAGCATCAAATTCTTATCTATGTCAATATCAATCTTGTTGTATAACTCTTCGTCATTTATTTATTCGACTTGAACATAAATCTGTTCTTGAAAATATTATCCAACATCTACCAAATCTTGAACAAATATCAGTTCAATTTGATTCTTCATTGGTATTACGTCCATTATCGAAATCGTATGTTGAAATGCTGAAAAATTCAAATGGAAATTGGTTTAATAAAGTAAGAAAGAAAGAAAAAAAAAGTTTTTGTTTTTGACTAATAAAAAACAATTGAAACCTTTTGTTTAGGTACCAAAACTAAGATATTTAAGTTTGGAAACTTACATTAATGAAGATTTTGAATTTATTTATTTAAAATGGTTTCTCAACAATTTAAATCATATTGAAAAACTTCGACTTTATCTTAAAAGTGGTGAATTAAACGAAAACAGATGCCAAAAAATATGGAAATCTTTTATTGATGCTAATTTCATTCGAGAATATTGTTTACCAGATACAATACCAAATTTAATTTATTTTAATTTTTATATTTGTTCAGAATGTCAATTATCATTGAATGATATAGAAAAAATAATTAATTCATTTAAAATTCATTCATTTTTTATTTCATATCAATGGACAAATGTTAAATGTTTATTTGATCCAATTCTATCATGTCAACATCTTTTCTCTTCTTTTTCTAAAAGAATTCAATCCTCTGATAGTCTTATGTAAAATATCTGTTTTTAGAAAAATTTTTAATTCAATTATATTCTTTTTCTTTTAGTAAATATCCAAATATTTTCAATTACCCGCATACTGATGATAGTCGGTTTCAGCATTATTTATATCCATCATTATATTTATTGCTTGAACAATTCAATGAATTATCTTCTAATATATCTTCTATCAAAGTATATAGAAGTAAATTATTTTCTTATTTCAATAATTCTCTTAATAAAGTGAAAAAATAGATTTCATATAATTTCTTTGTATGCCTAGTTTTCTGAAAAAGAAAACGATCATTAATTTTCACAAAACAATTCTATGAGAATAAAGATTTCTCATGAACATTTATTTATCTTGTTTTTAATTTAAATCTAATTTTAAAGTAAATCAAATTTATTTTTCTTCTTATAGAATATCGCCAAAATTTTAGCGAGTCAGATTTACTGATGTCATTGGGAATCTTATCCAAAATGAGACAAGACAAGACGATCGATAGTCCTTTTCGAAATATTACAAAAATTCAATTTGGAACATGGCTTGATCGGGGATATGGTTAGTATTAATTTTCTTTTTTTTTCATATGATTTTAAATGAATATTATTTATTCTTCATTTACAGCTAAAAATATTATCTGCAACTTTTTTTTATAGTTTGAAATTTTATTTAAGGAGGACCCCCTCAGAAAGTATATTCCACTTTGACCCGTCCATTTGAGCTGAAATTTTCAGGAATGACTGGTCCTGGTGAGAAACGCTTCTGAAAAAAATTTAGCCCTTTTAACTGTAATAGGTCAGAGTTCCAGCTGATTCATGACCCATTTTTGGAGCCGAAATAATTCAGTCACGTTACACGCTAGAGAGGTCGGACTGAACTCAAATTAAAGCTAATGCCAGGGGACAACTATTATTCGAACAGAATTTTGAAATTCGGTCTCGTTCATTTTTGTGACAAGAGCTGCAAATCAGCATAAAAAATGGTAGTAAATTCCACTTTTCTCAGCCCAAAAACCAATTATAAAAAATGCGTTTGAACAAAAGTTTAGCCTCATCGAGACCTTTAAGACAAAAGAAAATAATATTGAATATTGATTGAAACTGGAGGGAGTTATTTCCATTTTCCTGTCTGAAAAGCATGTTTTGAGAAAAACGATAAACAAATTTTAAAATGGATATTTTTATTCAAATTCGAAAAAAACACATTTTCAGAATTTTGTCCATTTTCAAAGAATAAAGTGCATATATAAAATCAGCTATTCTTTTGGAAATTGTAGAGCTTTTCACGCTGCATCTTTTGTTTTTTAAATACAATGTATTAAAACAGAAAAGCAATGTATTTTAAAAACTGAAAATCTCTTGAAAAACATGGTAGTAGCCCTCAATCTCCTTTGGAAAGTTTATTAAAAGTTGCGCTTTTGGGGAAAACGGCATATATATTCTGAAAGAGGAGACTTCAGCGTATCTTCCTATGATAAAATCTCGACTTCGACTTTTCTCGAAAAAATGGATTTTTGTAAGGAGGAGAGGGATTCTCTTAAAACAATTTCCCTTAAAATCATCGTCATGAAATGAACTTTTTAATTTTTGTATTAATGATTTGATATTTTGATAGTTATCGTGTGCCTTTGAATGTGGATTTTGCAATTATTAATGGTGATAAGTATTTAAGCAGTCACGAGAAAAAAAACGATTTGTGGAAAAAGTGATTGAATGGTACTTGATTTGGCTATGAGTATCAAAGTTACGTATTCGAATTTCGTTCACCATTGCAATACATTCTGCATTTGTGATAGATCAATCCAGCAATATCCAAGAAATGAAATATAGGAATTCCTAAAATAATGAGAACTATCACTATCTCCAGAGCGATAATAATTTTTCGGAAAATTGAGAATTGATTCTAAATTTCCTTTCAATTCTATGATTCGCAATAGTCAAAGTAATACATATTTTACACTGTTTTACAGATTTACATATTTATCTTTACACAGTTCTTTGTGGATGTAAATATAGATACGAAAACTTATTTCTCAGTCCTTGTAGACCCCTTAGAGAATATCAATTAGAATAAGTCTATTTCATTGTTTGACAAATATTCTTATGATAATCATGGAGAATATTTTTTTTTTCAGCTAATTCTAGCAAACCATTACCTCGAAATGAAATACGTGAAAAAGTACTGGCTCATCTCATTTCAATGACTGTGCAACTCAAATATCTTATAGTTGAACAATTCGAATGGCTCTTACATGTTGTTCAATATGTAAGGATTACTTTTATCTATAATCTGGTTTTAAGTATAAGCTTCTAGTTTCCACTACTTACTCAGTACCTCAGCACATGTTCAGTACTTTTTTAGCACCAGATGCTGGAAAAGTGCTGAACAGGTATTGTGATACTGTTTATCTTAAACTTTCTTTTTGTGTCATTTTAATATATTTACTTTGATTTGATGAATCAATTCTAATAGATTAGTATTATTTATTTATTTATTTAGGCAACTGATGAACTAAGAACGAATGCATTAAATACTGTTCGATATGCGGAGTTTTGTATTCCGAGTTGTAATATTGGTTCCAAAAACTTAATTCATATTAGCAAAAATCTTGTGCCTTTTCTTAGCACATATATGCCTCATTTACAAACATTACGTCTTTGGCGATCAGATGATTTTCCTTGGACATCGAGTAAGTTATGTAGGATAGATTCGAGATTTGAAAAGTAAGATAAAACACTTTAAAAACTTTAATTTTGTTTTCAAATTCTTTAAATTTCAAACAAACATTGTAATTTTTTTTGACAGATTTGTTTAATTTTTGTAATTGAACTTAATGAAAGATATTACATCTTATTCATCATTATGAAAACATTGAATAATTACTATGTCATTTAAATTGGAAATTTTTTTCCTATAGAAATATTTCTTTATTTTGTTCATTTAAATATGTTGGATATTGATTTTAAGTTTAAAAGGGAACAAGATAGAAAAAATATATATATTTCTTTAATAATATTTATAATTGTTGTTGATGACGTAATCAAAAAAGTGAATTAGGTAGGGTTCTGCTTCTAGTTTGTTTCGAACTTCTTAAGAGCATGAAAAGATGGTTTTAGACACATAAAATTGTATTTCTCTTGGATAAAATAACTCAAACCAGTTAATTAACATTATTTAAGAGATTTTCTTAACAGGAATCAAAGTAAAAGTTTACTGGTATAAAAAAAAAACAATATGTATGAAATTGTTTTCTGTTATTTAGATTTGATTTTTCTTTGAAGAAAATAATGAGACTGAAACTGATCTTATATTAACATTTTAATTCAACAATTGTTCTAGTTTTCACTAAATTTTAACAGTTATATGAAAATCTTCAATAGTTAGAGAAACTTAAATGTTTTGTTCTGATGATTTTTTCAATTAAGACTATACGTTAGAGATGTCACTATTTGTTCTCATCCTTTTCTGTTATGAAAGAATTGTATTTGACAATAATCCAACATCTTTCACTAGAATTTTCATCATAAAACTTTCTCAGAAATCTTTGTTACTACTAGTATGCTCGATTAAATTGAAATTTATCAAGTAATCTTGACAAAAGAGGAAGGTCTTAAAATAGTAAAGAAACTGAGAAAGATTGGAAACAAAAACCTAGGAATTCATTTTAAACATAGTTTGATTAATCTTACTATATTCGAAAAATTTCAATTGATTTGTCCGTACTTTACGTCAAATCACATTTCACAGCTCATTTACATCAAGTATTCAGCATATTATCATACACAGTGTTATTTTTTCGCATGATGGCATTTGTATTACTAAGTTATTGGAAAACTATATCCATAAAATTATTAGGAAATAACCCTATTGGTAACAGTGTATTTGTTATCTTACAAAATACAATCAAAATAGATGCTTTTAATAGTGAATTATTAGTTCTTTGAAGTCTTTCATTAATCTATATATATGGGGATGATCAGTCTAGCCGGATACCCGAATTGTTTTTTTGATTGTATTGCTTCTATAATCTATCAGATAAATGTGATTTTTTTACCAGTTATAGTACTCGTATAGTGCGGATGATCTGTTCGAGACAAGGGATCTATATTATGTCCTAAGTCCAAAAAGTTAAGTGTTTTTAG